GTAAGACCATTGATATCTCTTCTCTCCCACCAGCCTTCATATTACCTTTCAGTACTAAGAAAGCTAGCCATCAGGAATAAAACTTCCAATTCAGTTCCAGTGTGATTTCTCTGTACTGTGCAATCAAGGTATCAGCAATATTGTCTTATCAGCTAGCTCTGGTGGACAATCCAAAGGAATGGCAAGTGTGTATATTGTTTGGGGGGGGGGCTTCTGGGGCCTCCCTAGCTAATAGCTCATAAGAACATATCCCACACCTGACACTGAGGAGAGCCTTAACATTTCTTTCGTGATATACTCTGCCCACTATATATAACTAGTTAGGATTTAGAGAAGGGGAGAAGTTCTCCTTTAAAGTAATCCTTCCCTTCCAGCACCATTTGTTCATTCAGCAAGGTCTGATCAAGTGTCTCCTGCAGGTAAGGCACAACATTGGGAGTTTTGGGTAAAAACATGGACGAGCCAAAACTCATCCCTGCCTCACACAACTAACAATACGCCAAAGTTTCTAGAACAATGTTCAGAAAAGAAAAAAATAACATGAAACAAAGTAGATAGAGGTTATACCATAGATTTAGACTGAGTAGTAGAGAAGAGAAAATGTATCTAAAGTAAAAGGCCAGGAAAGAATATTTGGAAGAAGGCTTGATTGGAAGATTCTGAAAAAAGCTATAGTTTCTAAATTCTCCTCAAAAATAAAAATCTATTTCCTAGCTATTTTAATAAATAAAATTACCCTTACTAAATTACTCAATTTCATGTTATCATAACAAAACACTGTAGACTGGTTAGCTTATAAGCAATAGAAGTTCATCCAGTTCATGGTTCTGGCAGCTGAGAAGGCAAGTATCCAGGTTTAGGCCTCTGATGAGGGCCGCTGGCTGTGTTATAACATGGCATACGTCATCACATAGCAAGGTCACACAAGAACAGGCAAAGACTGATCTCTATTTTTATTCTCCTCCTCCTCCTTCTAAAGATACTGACTATGGTAGTCCCACCCTCATGACCTCATTGAGTCCTAGTTACCTCCAAGGATAACACCTCCAAATACCAGAAGCCAATGGAATTGAAAATTAATTCCATGAAGTTATAGGGGACATGCCCAAACCACAACACTTATTTTGAAAACACTTTAACCAGACTTTTGCCCTGTTTTCTTCCCATGTCCTATAGGTCTGTATTCAAGTCTTGCATTGCATTTTCAATTTTGATAGTTCTTTGACAGAACTGATCTTTGTGTTAAGAACCTATAAAGACACTGTCAACATTGAAACTGACACATCGTTTTGTATTGCTGTTACTGATTATATTAACACAATCAGAGCACACAGCCAGAATGAGCTATACCTAGAAACAATGTCCAGGAAAACAAAAAGGGTCTTTTCATCATATTCAAGGAAAAAAAAAAACAAGCAAAAAGAAGTAATGGCAATTTAATGCTGCTAAATAGGAGGGACAGTAATAAAGGATTGGAAAGATGAAGCTCTGTGGTTCTGGCTTTCTACATTTTCCATTAAAAAATTCTCTAGCGAAGAAGGACAAAAACAAAGAGATTCTTAGCAAAGTGGTAACTCAAGTCTCTGTGTCCCAGTGAATACCATGGGGAACCACAAGAACCCAAAGTGAGGGACAACAAAAGGTCTCAAGAGCACACACATCTAGTATCAACTTTGGAAGGTTTCTGGGGGAAAGTAAGAGTGAGCCCCAAACACGGTCAACTGGATAACTGTTGTGATTTTAGATTATCCATCGGAGTGCTGAACTCAAGCCAAAGTCACGTCACCTGCCCCAGTTTATACTCAGTGGGTGTCTGCTGTGTCTCAAGAGGTAAACTGAGCAGGAAAAATGGAGTGAGTGTGAATCTTCTAGACAGTAACAGAATAAGGGATGAAGCCAGGCTGACGAGTGTTGCCCTGTAAAATACCGTGGAAGAAATGAAATCATGAAATACTGATCTGTCTCTTGGGCATGATCAGGAAATTGGCAATCCTCTACTTTAATAGGGGTACAGTCAAATTCAGCATCAGTTCAGAACCAGCCCCTTTTCGGGAGAAGGATTAGGATCCAGGAGAAAGTGAAGCTAAAGGGATGTCTACCACCTAAAGAGGTTGAGAACTCAGGGCACAGAAGGAAACACTCTTTGCCTGAGCTTACAAAATTGGTGAAGAAGTCACAAAAATGCTAATAGAGTTAACATATTCGTTATACTTCTTCCAGATGCCTCTAATGGATCTTCCACCATTTCTCTTGCTGATAGAAGCTGGCTCCACATTCACTGTGGTTCATTTCAAGACTCCAGTACTAAGCAAAGATTCCACTACTCATTTTGCATGGTGTGTTAAGACCATGGGCTGAGCTACTACTGCAAGAACAGTCTTGCTCCTTTTGGGAAATCGTGGCTGTCCCTCCCTTTCTGGTCCTGGAAGAGCAGAACCCCAGTTCTGCTTAATAGCTTTAGGAGGGATTGATCTGTCGGATTTAATACCACGTCTGCTGCATTTTTTCAATACCAGTACTTTTAAGTGGACACAGTGAGAAGGTGCTAGCATCTAGCTTTACCTATGGGATTAGAATTAACAAGTCTTTCCAGTGTGAGAGCTTTAAAACTTTCAGTCGGATACAAAGCCATCACAAAGGGACTAAGGACTGGTTTTCAGTGGGTATTGAACATGATGGACCCAAGAAAGTAGACATTATTATCAGTGAGTCGTATGCAAGAAAAGGGTGGGACTTTTATTGAGGTTTAGTAGAAGGAGTCAGGAGTTGTCGAAATAGAGCTAATGAATTGAGCCTGTGGGTAAAGGCACAAACCATTCAGTCCCACAATCTCAGCTTGAGCCCCAGGATTCATGTTAGAAAGAGGAAACAGACTCCCACTAGTTGTCTCCTGACTTCCATATGTGTACTGTGACATGCATGTACCCACACTGATACACACACACACACACACACACACACACACACACTAAATAAATAAATAAATAAATAATGTGATATAAAAGAAAGAGTTGTAAAACACACCTACAGTATCAGAAACTAGAACCAATGTGACATGCATGTACCCACATTGATACACACACACACACAAATAACAGATGTTACCTTTGGCATGGTAACATCCTCTGTAAAAAATACATCATAAGGAAATATTTGAAAATATGTTCAAAAAAAATAGTACTAAAAATATTTAGAAACATAAAAATACTTAAAAGACTGTTGATGAATGGTAAGTTCGATAAACTGTGGCATATATGTGCAACAGAATACTGCACAGTTGACAAAAATAGGCAATAAGAATGTATTTACTAAAATAAAAGAACACATTATAAAATTGGTGTTAGATGACATTACATTTGGAGTAGACTCACCCACCCATACACACACACACACACACACACACACACACACCGAGATAATAAAGAAAATATTCTTGACAGAATTATACTGAAACATTCACTGTCACACATTGTTACCTTTGGGATGGAATAAAACATGACTTCTCAGCCGGGCGGTGGTGGCGCACGCCTTTAATCCCAGCACTCGGGAGGCAGAGGCAGGCAGATCTCTGTGAGTTTGAGGCCAGCCTGGTCTACAAAGTGAGTTCCAGGAAAGGTGCAAAGCTACACAGAGAAACCCTGTCTTGAAAAAAAACCAAAAAAAAAAAAAAAAAAAAAAAAGACTTCTCTCTTTATCTCTTTATATATCTTTTCTAAAATTCTTCCATGAGTAAAATTCTATCTTACAAAAGTAGTTTAAGAGACCTAAGTGCACATTATATATGTGTATTCATTATTGTGTTTTATAATTCCTTATCAAATGTCCCTTGTTTACTGGGCCTTGCAATACACGAAAGTTCTCTATAAAAATTCATATTAACTAACTGATTGTTTTCCTAGTCACATTGACCAAAAGAAGCCCCACCCAAGGATGAACCAACCAAAAGGTGGAGAATCTTATTTAAAGTCACATAATGAATCCAAAACCATAGCTAGGACTTGTAACCTCAGACTCTCGGTGCTGAACCCAAAGAAAACAGAAGGTGGCCTCACATTGGTTCTAGTTTCTGTTGACTGTCTACTGGCTTTGAACTGTCCCTCGGTGTGGCAATTTGGAGAAAACATTGGCCTCAATCTCTGGCAGCTACCTCCACCAAGAACTTCAGCCTGTTTTCCTACTGTGACATTTGGAGCTGGTGTAGAAGATGGTGGTGCCTCCTGAGAGCTAGGCCCCAAGACACTTTACAACCGTCACTCATTTGGAACTTTGACCACTCCATGTATCGGGACTGCCTGACTGGAGAACAAGCAGAGCCATCCCATCATGAGACGGGACTGACCCCACCTACCCCACCTAGCTGGGGTCATTGTAGCCCAGGTTGTATCAGCAAAGCCACCTAAGAGAGTCCAGATCTAAATGTCAACCCACAGACCCCTGAGAGAAATAAATGCTTTCTGTTGTAAGTCGCAGTTTCATGGTGCTTTCACAGGCAGCAGAAGGTGTCAGATACAGGCCTGGGGCAAGGCGAGGCCTCTTTATTGCTCAAATGAGGAAACCAAAGCAGTGAAGATCCCCATTCAGAGTCCAGCAGTAAAGCCACCAAACGAGAAACTAAACCAGCTTCTCCTGACCACCCCACCAGTGTTCTAGTCTTAAAATGGTTCAGGGAAATTAAAAAGAAAGAAAGAGAGAAAGGAAGGAAGGAAGGAAGGAAGGAAGGAAGGAAGGAAGGAAGGAAGGAAGGAAGGAAGGAAAAAGAAAGAAGAAAGAAGAAAAGAAAAAAATAGTTCAGGGAAAAAAATGGTAAATACAGTTCACACACATATACACACATATATATACACATACACAAACAGAGAGAGAGAGAGAGAGAGAGAGAGATGGAGAACATGAATCAAAGGCTTCAGATCACCATGGGCCCCATGGGTCCCGCCAACTCAATAGCCTGGCCGCAGAAGAAAGGCAAAAACCACCTAAACAAAAAACCCCATTCTGCCCACCTTGGTCCTGCTCCAGTCCCAGGCAGTGCCAGGACTTCCACAGCTTGAAGACCACCCGGAAGTAAGGCCCTCAGAGACCTCAGAACTCCGTTCTCTGGCCTCTCCTTCTTCTCTTTTCTCGTCCCTCTCAGCTTCTACCTTGCTCCCTTCTCTTCCTGGGCCCCCTCTTCCCTCCCGGTCCCCTCTCCCCACTCCTCCTTCCTTCCCCACTTTTTTTCCATCTGTTTCTCTGTGTGCCAACCAGAGACCCCTGACCCTCCTCCCTTCCCGATTCCTAGCTCATTGCCTGGCTTCACCCACCTCTTCTGTCCCTCAGAGGGTCAGACAGAAAGAACAGCTAATCAAAAGGGAGACCTAAAGGAGCCTCGGGATTGCCCCAACAACTCCTCATAATGGACTGGACTTCAAAGTGCTTGGTCCCAAACATTAGCCATTTAATCCTCACAGCCGCCCCTCGTGTTAATTAGGCCTCATTATTCATGAGTTACACACCAGGAAAACAATGCCAGACGGAGTACCAGCTGTACTCCAGGTTCTGAAGCCGAGGAGGGCCCAGGCCCCTTGGCACCAAAGCCACACACTCCCCCTGGTGTCCACCCAGAGGCCCGGCTGAGCCAAGGGGCGGCTCAAGCTTTTCCTTTTTTTTTTTTCCACTTACCACAGGTGTGTTCTACCGCAGCCTAAATAGCAGCTACTATTTATTCTCTGGGATTTTCTAAAAATGGGCCTTTGCAAAGCTTCGAGCCAAAGGCATTCCCAGCATCACTCTTTATTAAATCAAGCCACAGAAATGTATTGAAAATCACGAGCGTTTTGAAACATACTGAGTCCTTTATGGCTGAAATAATCTAATAGACAAGCTGTTGTTAATTTACAACCTTAATTTTCAGACACACTTCTCGAGTCAAAAGGACTTCCTGCCCCGTAATTCCTGTAGGGACACAGGTGGCCTAGCACTAAGTACACATCTACTGTACATTAAAATGTATTTCTTACTTAGCTTCAACGTTTCTGAAATCTCAAGTTTATGTCTAGACTATTTTAATCAGCAAAATGTCATAATAAACCATATGTTGGTCTTGATCGGTTACATACACCAGCCCTACTCATAAAGTATCAAAAGCTGGTCTTAGAAAGAGGTCTGTATTTGTTTTAACAAGAAAATGGTACTTTCAGTCTATCATATCAGACATGTTGGCAAGCAGAAAGGGGCCATACGTAACCGGTAGAAAAATGGGGTTTCTTCCTCTTTGCACTTCATGCACCGCTCCCTCAATATCAATTTCAAACTTCAGAGTTTGGAAACATCAAACTTAAATTGGCCTCCCTAGGCCCTTGACCACTATCCACAAAGCATTCCGACCTCCACAGGCCCTGTAGAAGGAGCGGACACGTTTATGCCTTCTATTCAATTTTTCTGTTGATTCCCACCTAAGTGAACCTGCATCTCTCAGTCCCACAAAGAATGACCAAGTCTCCCCCACATAAGGTCAGGGAAGATTAAACGCATTGCTGACTGGACTGGAGAGATGGCTCAGTGGTTAAGAGCATTGGCTGCTCCTCCAGAGGACCCAGGTTCAACTCCCAGCATCCACATGGTGGCTCACAACCATCTGCAACTCCAGTTCCAGAGGACCCAACACCTCATCTGGCCTCCACAGGCACTGCACACATGTGATACACATACATGCAGCCGAAACACCCACATACACAAAATAATAAAAAAAATCATTAAGTGGTGCTGACTAGAGATATCCAAATATTAGTTAGTCACCCGTCATAGCTGAGGACTTGTAGCCACGCTGGTAAAACAAGGCATGCCTGACACATTCTTTCCCAGAGACAACAGTTTTATTGGAGAAAGATATGGCACAAATGATCCCAGAAATCTGAAGAGCTCTGAAGAGAAAGTGCTGACTACCATCGAAGCCTATACTAGAGACATCAGCTGTTACAGAGGGACCAGAAATAACAGTATTTGACTTTGACCTTGGGAATAAGACAGTTGAGCTGGTCAGATAGAAGGTGGCTGTGGAGCTGGGGACATGTGAAGTGGGAATGAGAAAGACAGAGAAGGGGATGGAGGGAGAGGAGGGGGCGAGGGGAGAGAGAAGAACGTGAGAAAGAAGGGGGGAATGAAGAGGAAAGGCAAAGATAGAAACTAGAAGAATGGGATGAGAAGATGAGATGGGAGAGACAAGACAGCGGGAAATGGGGAGGGGTGGGGACAGGAGGCAGGACGAATGGGGAGAGACTTGAAAGACATCAAATCCATTGAGTCCTTACTTTCGTGACAAACCAGGAAGGACCAGAAATTGTATAAAAGTAGTTTTGCTTCCAATTCTAAAGAAGCCTAATTAGAGAAGCACTTATTAATCAAACAGTAACATACAAGCTTTGCTATCAATATAAAGAGCTCTTAACCCAAACTAGGAAGAGAGAAAGCTATACACAAGATGGCAGGTACTTCAGGGGAAAGAAACAAACTGGCTTCTAATGTTGACACTTAATGAAACTGTACGAACTGTGGACTGTGAATAGAATATTCTTGCAGATAGACATTCTTTGGACATGAAAAATAGTCATAATGCTTGTTTGTGCCAAGCCTGGACAGAAACAGAAAGAGGGTTTGCTGCTCGAGAAACCACACAGCTGCCCTTGGTTGGCATGGTCTGATGAGCAGATAGTAATTTGAGTGGCACTATTTTAAAATAATGATGTTTTCTCTGGCCGGTTCTGATGCAAGCTCTGTCTTCTCCCCTGAAGGGAGTCATCTTGTGGGGCAAGCTTGTGAGCGAGCATTCCTCGGGTGTCTGTCACAGCTACCAGTGGCATGACTGACCATTCATCACCGACTGCTAAATGGGGATCGTATTACTTGTTTGTCTCTGTGCTGTGGTACCGGGGCAGAAGGAACAGAAGACAGGAAGGGTTGGTTTGGTTTCCGGTTCCATATCAGAACCTCACGGCAGTGAAGTCGTGATGGCAGGAGCTTAAGGTTGCGTTGTGTCCACAGCCAGAAAGCAGAAAGAGATGAATGCTGATGCTCGGGACCCAAGCCCAGAGCACCGTGCCAGCCACGCTTAGGATGGATCTTCCCACTCAGTTAACCTAATCAAGATAATCCTCATAGGCACAGCCAGAGACTAAACTAGACAACCCCTTTCAGGTGTTCCTAAAACCTTGTCTCCTAGGTGACTCTAGATCCTGTCAAGTCGACTACCAACATCACAAGGATCCATTTTTAGTCTGTCCGGGCACTGCCTCTTCTCCAAGGCTGAGGACTCTCCACATCTTTGAAATAAGGCTTGCCCAGATGACTTGCTTGAGCCAATGAACTGTCAACAGAAGTGATATGTCACTTCCAGGTGACAGTTGGATGCTGATGCAGGGTTTCCCCTCCCTGATGCTTCCTGTGGCAAAGGCTGTACAGATTCTTTTAAGTTAGAACTGTTATTCTGAGCCCCTGAGTGACTAGAGCGCCCCCTACTGGCCATACCTGGAAATGCAACATAAGAAAAACTGGAGGGCTCTTTGCCCCTGCACTATAAACTAAACCACAGATCTCTGAGAACCGATGTTACAATTTCCTTTTCATTTTACCATGCAACCTTCTCTCATAACACCTTTGCACTCAAAATTATTGGTGTACCTTCTATATGAACGGGCTTGGCAATCAAGGAAATGCAAAATGTGGGCTTGAGTTAAAAAATTGCTGCTTTTAAAAATAGCCATTCCTATAAAATAATGACTCTGCAGTAACTGGCAACTTTTATGTTTTGGGCCTCACCCAGGGTAGCATGGAAGGTAGGGAGGAGCTTGCATCAAATCCCCCCCCCCACACACACACACACACCCCATCTTCAGGAAAGAACAAATAAAAGCACACACTCCAGGATCACTCGGTGGGGACTCAAGGCCAGCCCCTCCCTTTGTTCTCTATAGCCTTGAACATGTAGTTTGAGCAATGGCTGCTTCAATCTCCTCATCTACGACATGGAGGAATCGGGTGAGTCAGAACGAGGAAATGAGGACCAGTCCCCAGCAAGGGCTCGGGAATTTCCTGTCACTACAGTAATGTTACCAATCCTGGATGGAAGGCCAGACATAGTAACACACCCATAATCCAGCGTTTGGGAGGTACAGTACAGGTGGGAGGATCGTGATTTCAAAGCCAGCCTGAGCTGTAAGTCAAGTTTGAGAATATCCTAGGTTACATGGCGGGACTATTTCAACTGCAACAACAGCAACAAAGGTTCAGCATGACATGCTGTCACTTCTCAAGACTGCCACCACAGCATACCTTGTAGCAGCTCATTTCACGGCTCCCCTATCATTTTGTCTTTCCACGTCAGTCTAGAGAAGTGGTTCTCAACCCTCCTAATGCTGTGACCCTTTAATACAGCTTCTCATGCGTCTCCTAATGCTGTGGTGACCTCCTCAACCATAAAATGATTTTTGTTGCTACTTCATAACTGTAATTTTGCTACTGTTACGAATCGCAATGTAAATATTTTTGGAGACAAAAATTTGTCAAAGGGGCCTCGACCCGCAGGTTGAGAACCATTGATCTAGGGTGTCATGGAACCTTTAATTCTTCAGAAAGCCTAAAAACCAAGGTCCCTCCCACATCTTCAACAGGAGCCTTTTTCAGAATTTCCAGAATCATTTTACCCTCTTATAACTGCAGTTGCCTAAATGCACTTCTGTCTTCCGGGGGAGACGTTGTGTTCACACACTAGGCTAGCAGTCCTCAAGACGTCCACCTGAAAAGAGGAGGCGGTGTAGCAAAGGCTGGAACAAGAAGGACCCACAGAGGCAAAAGAGAGCAGAACATTTGCGAGCCTTCCTGCTCCAATCAGGAGGACTTTGAAATAACTGCTCGGGTGAGAAGATGGCGCTGCGATCCCCTTACTGATTAGCTGAGACTGAAATAGATTTTAATTGCCTGTCAGTGTCAGATATCAAAGCTGTGTGTGCTTTGGGAGCACAGCACACTCAGCCAGCTCTCCAGGCAAACTCGCTTTAGGGCTCTAGGTGTGCGATCAGAGCTTCCGCAAGCCCTTCTCTCTCCAGGTCCCCTCCCCACACGATGTTTTTCTTTCACCTAAACACTCCATAAATTTTCCAAAGACAGCTTATT